AAGGTCAGTGTAGGGCTTGTACTATTGGCTCAATCCCGAATGCATCATTATTACCATACCAATTTTTAGACAAAATCACAAATATTTTTTTCCCTAACATTTCAGATGAGCAGTCAGAAAGCCTGAGAAGAGGGTCATGCAAAGTCTATATGCTCAGCAAGAAGTTGCCTGGATAATGACCTGAGTGAAATGTCCTATTACGGGCTTCAAGCTTCAGGGAGAAGCCTTCCTGCAGAAGCTTGGTCCTGGCTCTGCCTTGGGGACGGTTCCAAGGTCCATTCCTTCAAGGAGCAGGATATGGCTTGCTGGGTGTGTCAGATGTGCACCTTAAAGCAGGGGATTTACATTTGGTCCCCTTCTCAACCTAAGAGAACTCAAATCCACAAGTCCTATTTTCAAGGCAACTGCTTATCCTGGAAGAACACCCTTCCCCTCTCCTTTTGAATGTGTGCCACCAAGCCAAAATTAATTAAAAGGAGAGAAAGCATGAATGTAGAGAAACAAAAAAGCTGCAGGACTGTAGGGTAGTGCTTAGGGCACTCATGAGGAAGATGGGTGTTGTGAGCTGTGGTTCCTGCCCACAAGATGAGTTATGTTTGGCAATTGAAAAGTAATATACGCAAGCATTTCTGGCAGCAGAGAGAGTAACCAGGACTCCCTGCCTGCACTGGAGTGCCCTGAGTATGGTGCTTCTCTGAATAGTCTCAGCGCTTCAGCTGGTGGCATGGGGAGTGTTCCCTCACATCATGACAAAGACATCCTGCTCAGGATCACAGCTTTCTTGCCCACAGACAGATGTTAAGCATCAGACAGATAATGAATTAAGAGGACCCCACCTCATCCTCTGTTCTACAAGAAGACAGGAGCCACCATGGTATCTGTCTGCATCTCTGAGACTCTGAAACGATCTGTACACTATGACCAAGTGATTCCTGCCACCCGGCTGAGCTCAAGCCCTGTCTCTGAGTGTAGCTCAGGCTGAAGCAGAGCTGGATGCTCAGCTCCTCTGCTCCATCTGAGCAGAGACACTTCTGGATATATAAAGTGGTGCAGCGCAGGGCACCTGGGCATTGTGAAGTGGAAAAAGTAGATATCTGTCAAATTGAGTTTTCTCCAGTGCGAGGAGGCAGCCAAGCAAAGACAGTCTGGGATCAGGTACTTGAGTCCTGCACAAGTCCTTGTTGATGTTGCCTTGTACCCTTTTTTGTCTGGGGTTTGTTGGGGTGTTTTTTTCCGCTCAGATAGTCTGAATTCCCTCGTCGCAAGGACCATATCGGGTCTCTGAAAGGATGAGCATTTCAAGGAGTTGGGTATTATTTGTGCAACTAAGCACAAGGAATGCCCTCCAGTATAAGGAAAGTCTAGTTTTAAACCTGCTTCCAATTTCTCCGTGAGTCTAAAGGTTGTCTGTTCAAGAAGCTTCTGATGACAGTGCTGTTCATTATAGTACTTAGTGATACTACCTGCTTTTGAGGATGTATACGTTTGGCTGTAATGACTTTTTAGTCTGGACATGCTCAGCCAGGGCATGTTACTGGAAGAGGGATCAGCATTGGCTCGCTCCTGCTGCGTTGGCAGGCATTCCCCGTCACTGATGTCTGTTTTCTTTGCCGCTGGAGCCAGAGAGAGGAGGCTGAAATGAAAGTTAGGATTGGCAAGGAAAGAGCGAGGTGTAAAAACGTGAATCTCGGCATTATAATCACAACTATGGTTATAATTAGAGATACGACAAAGATAAAATATGCAGCATGCCTGAGGGACCTGTATATCCAACTGCTCCTGGATTGCTATCTGACAAGTTAATTAACCACAACAA